TTCATTACATATCCAACTTTCAAAGTCTTTCCATTATTTTCTTTATGACGTCGAAGATTAATGGTTTTTTTTTTTCATACACACTTCAGGAAAGTAACAGGCCGAAATGTTTGGTTATAACTATTTTTATTATTTTTGATGTATTATGACTTTGATGATTTGTGTTCAAAGGTACTACCTCAGCGTATAATATATTTTCGATTTGTCTTTTGACTAATATAAAAAAAGTTTTTCTAATCGAAATAATCACTTGGCAGGTTTCACAGCTGTTTTAAAGTCAGCTTAAAACTTATTTGGCACATAAACTATTAGGTCACAACCTAAGTGAGGAGTAAAGTAGAACCAAATGAGTAGCCTAGGTAGTAAATCCACAAATATTTTTTTTTTTTTTGCATATATGAATGAGAGGAAGAATTTCTTTAAGGGTTTTAATTAATTTTAACTCTCTTGGAACGAAAAGTAAGTGCACTAATACGACAAGAATTTAAAAGAAGCCGTTATATTATTTAAATGTAGAGTATGGCATAAAAATGAATATTTTTGATTTCTGAAATAAAATAGGTGTGTTGACGTCTGATATTGTTTACGAAATATTTGAAGAGCTCTTCTGATTTGAAAAAACTTCACTTAATTTTAAAAAGCCGAATAGTTTTCAGCGTATTATGGTAGCTTGCGAATATACAAGTATATTTGGTTACTTTTTTACTTTTATCTGTTTATAAAGCGTTTTTAAGGAAAAAAGTAGATAGTGGATATCGAAAACAAATAACAAATAAATGACAAACAAATTTATTAATAAAGTGATTTGCTTAATTTGTGTAAATAACGCTATTTTGTGGCGATCCACAAACAAGCATTTTCAGTTCCTGCAACGAATATATGTTTGTATGTAGATTTTTTTTATTACTCAAAATTAAATTTAATTCTTGTTAAAAAAAAATTAGATAAATCTTTGTGAAAACAAAGGCAACTTATGTTGACTTTTAGCAATAAATAAACGAAAAATCCAGAAAAGAAAAATTAATTAACAAAAATATTTCTTGTTGCAATCTACAGATTTTAAATAATTTATTGCTTAAAGCTCTCTGACTTGTATGTGCATTTGTGTCAAAATTACTCAAAATTCTAACTACAATTGTTCAATTTGTTTACTTTGTGTTATTTTTGTTTTTGTTCAGTAACTAGTTGGACTAAGTTTACAATTGGCAATGAATATATTATTTGATAGTTTTTATTTATTTTGTTAAATTGGTTAAACCGTATGTACTGTATGCATATTTGTTGATTTGAGTGTAAAACGGTTTGCTCGTTTTTTTGCTTGTTTGTCAGGTGGATTTCTTGGATTGACCAAGCTCTGAAAAAGCAAATAAAAACCAAAAAAAAAAAAATAAATGAAAAAAGCGAACATGTATTTCAAATACCATTACACTGAACAAAAAAAGTATTCAAATTGCTTGAGCTTGTATGTAGAAGAAAACTCTACACTTGAATTTCGTTGGCAGGTTACGTTATGTATTTCAATTCTTGTCTCGTTGACTGTGTTCTTCTTGCTGTTGGCTGAAATTATTCCGCCAACATCATTGGCCGTACCGCTGCTAGGCAAATATCTACTCTTTACAATGATACTGGTCTCATTGTCCGTTTGGACAACGGTATGTGTTTTAAATATACACTTTAGGTAAGTCACATAGTATATTTATGGAAAATAATATATTATTTTTAACATTTTATGATTTATTATATGATATTAAGAAAACAAGTGTTCGAAAATATGCTAAAAAGCGAGCTTACATTTTCATGTGTGAGAATATTAAAACAAAAACATATTTTTATTGTATGAATGTAGATCACCGTCTACGCATAAAATGTCACCACTTGTGCGTAAACTCTTTTTACACTTTATGCCAAAATTGATGATGATGCGTCGCACCCAGTATACATTGCCAGACTATGATGATTCTACGCCCAGTAATGGTTATACGAATGAAATTGATGTGCGGTAAGTTTACGATTTTTTTTATATTTATTTAAATACATTTAAATATATTTGAAATAATTAATATTTTTAATAAATCGCCTTCTAATTATTATTCACTTATAAAAAACATTTATTTTATTTTAATTTTTATTTAAATTAGAAACATGTGGCAACCTTTTTCGTTATTATTAAATTTAAAAATTGTAAAACAGGCATTTTGAGCGCACTTTAACATTTAACATTGCTGCTTAAGCTCCTTTTTGATCTCGGTTATTCATCATATTCAAAGTATTTATGTATGAATTCTAAAATTATAACTGTACTATCTTTTTTTTACCGTTATTTGATTACTATTATGCAATCCAAATGCAAGCAGCGATAGTATTAGCGATTTTCCCAGTGAATTTAAGGACAGTCAAGAGGGACCGTACGATAATGGTGTACAAAATTCGATTGGTGAGTGTATAATACTCTAAAATGCATAACACACTAAAATAAGTAAATAAAAAAATGGTTCGAAATTAAGTTTTTGAAGTTTCCAAGTAATACCCAGCAAAAAATATCCCTATATGTATATATGGAGCACCCGTTAACTAAAGGTAACCGATATATACCTTTTCCCCACTGATTTCCAGTTTGTTTCAAGTGGCCTTATTCCCATTTATAATCACAAGCGCTTTTAAAAAGATAATAACACATAAACATAAATTTCTCTTTAACTCATGACTTTAACCAAAACCTACTTTCTTAGTAGAATTTGACTTGTTAAAAGCATCGACACGATGAAATTATATAGAGAAAACATATATGGCTTCGAAAAGTCGAAAGTATATTTCTTGATTTCAGCAATCGATTTTTCAGGTAAAAATTAAAAGATCCAGAAAATGAGACAGAGAGAATTGCATAACAGCATAGTTTAGTTACAGTTTAGTGAAACTTAAAATTATCGACTTTGATATAAATCAAAGGAATTTATGCAATTTATTTTAAGGACTAACTATCTCTTTGATCTCGAAAAGTCCATTCAGATACAACTTTCCTCGCTTTGTGTGACAGTTCATACCTTAATTACGGGACACTGGCATATAGGATGTATATAAACTAAGTAATGATTGCTTTTTCAACCTTAACAACCCTTAACAACCCTTAACCTTGAAGTCCCCTCATAAAATACAATTTTACAAATTTTCCTAAAGAGTTGTGCCATTTTAATTTCTAACAAGAAATGATTATTTCTAGATTCTAGAAACGGCGTTGGTTATTTTTCTTGTAACTCGTCTTAATTCTGAATAGGATAAATATCTTTAAGATTAAAATTTCCCTTAACTTGCTCACTACAATTTCGATATCTACTATTTTTCTATGCTCTTTTTTCATTTTCGCTAGATTCTGACAATGTGATACCGCGCAATTTGACACCCGAAGTGCTGCAGGCATTACGTGCGGTGCGTTTTATTGCGCAGCACATTAAAGATGCCGACAAGGATAATGAGGTGAGTGTTTGAAGGCATGAAAAATATTTACATATACACGTAAAGCCCTGATGTTAAATATTTTTTATTGACGGCTCAAGCAAGGACTGCGTCTGACTTCGATTCGTTCGCAACAAAGGACTTAAACATTCACTGAATTTAGAAGCACTTCTTTTTCTATTTATTTGCTTAGTTTCTTTTGGTTTATTGCATTTTTACGACGCTTATTTGTTTGTCTTCGCGTTATTGGTTTACTATTTTTTATTTCCACTTCTTTAGTAGTTTGTGGCATTAATTTGTTATTGCCGTAATACAAGAGATTTATTTATTGTTGTTAGTGTGGTGGTTGCCATGTCATACTCTACTCCATTTTTGCTATTATTATTTTTTATGAATAACACCCTGTGAATACAATAACAATATTCATGATAAAATATTAAATATGTTTGAGTGTTGAGATGAAGGGCACAGCGGCATTCCGTTTGGACGGAAGGAGAGATGTGGGCTGTATTAGAAACGTTCTAAGATTTATTTTCATTTTGGTTGTCAGTTTATTGATTGCTTAAGGGGATTTCGATTGATGGCGTAAATTCTCTCACTTATAACGGCTCTTTGTACAACAACTAGGAAAAAACAAGTCCATAAAGCTGCGTGATTTAAGCGTAATTTATAATTTATAGCCATAACTTTTCTGCTGCCTGCACATTCAAGAATGCACTTCATCTATTTATTTTACACATTTATCAAATTTCTATTGCAAATAAATTTGTTGAAGCATACTTGCCGTGAGTTGGCACTCTGAACTATTTTGAACAAATTATCGAAGGCATGTTAGTTATTTATTCGTTCGAAAGGTTAATGGCAACTGGAAATCCGAAAAAACCGAGGGTTTCTTTCGTCTCAACAAACGTTGAAAAAACATTACACTAATTAACACCTAGGCAAATTAAGTTCCACAAAATGGCATGAAACAAACAAGTAAGGCAGGGTTAAGTTCGAGTGTAACCCAACATTTTATACTCTTTTAACTTTCAAGTGCCAAAGCAGCGAAAATACCTTCAGGTGTTAAGAAAGTTTTATATTAAAAAATGTTGTGAATCTATTTCACATGCATTATTCGACGAAATTGTAAAGGGATTACAATCAAATTTGGTATTATATTAAGTTATATTATAGGTCATAGACTCACTTAGTTTTATTACTATATTATACTTTCCGTCAGTTAAAATTTTATTAAAATTATCTTCACATGAGATATATGGGATATAAACTCAACTGAAAAAGCTAAATTTAACACAATACAAGTATAATGAGTTGATCTCAAAACATCAACTAGAGCGATCGCAATTCATTATTTTAAGAATATAAGGTTTGGACCAAAGTCTAGACCTAATTCATTTATATTCACACACAATTTTTAAGAAAACTTGTTCATTTAATTTTATTAAAGTATCACACATATATTGGGGACAGAGAAAGGGATGGGCTGATTGTGTTAATTTTGATATTGATGAGTTTTATAAATATATTATATAACACTTTGAACGACAAGTTCGGCATAATGTTTGTTAAAATAACAAAAATCAATATATGCATGTATGTAGTATTTCGAGTTGGGATAATTTGTAGACTAAATTCACATATTTTCGGCATATAACTAATAGTATATCCAATATTATACGTCCAGTTTATTTTTCATAGATATCTTACATATTGACTGATATATAAGTATGGCATACGGTCAACAGGAAATTTGAAAACCTTATATTATTATATAGGCAAGTTTTCACCCGATTTTACTCATTTTAGATACAACAATGCACCATTATAAGATAAATTTATCCCTTGAATTAAGACAATTCTTCAAATTTGTCTATTAAACCCTGAAACACCAAAAAGAAAACGTCCGTCCGTTCGTATGTATATATACGATATTGTTCGGCCGATATCAGACTATTATAGAATATAGCTGCCATACATACTGAACGATCGGAATAAAGCTTTGGCGAGATATTTTGGGATTGATTACTTCCCAAGGCAATGATGCAATCTCCGAAGAAATTGTTCAGATCGGATTACTATAGCATATACATATGTAGATGCCATACAAACTGAACCACTTGATCAAGTGCTTGTATGGAAAACTTTTTCATTTGAGGAGATATTTTCATAAAATTTGGCGTGTGTTATTGTCCAAGGCAATTGTGCAATCTTCGAAGAAATTGTTTAGATGTTTTTTTACCAAAAAGATCTTAATCATTTCATTTCTTGTTTTCCTTTTCAAATTTTCATAGTCGTAATATCAAAAACATGATCCAATATTATAGGTAGGATTGAGAAATATTACGGCAGCGCTCACTTATATCGAAACGTTGAGCATCTCTCTCAGTGAAACATGAGTTGTGAAGATGTTACAGGCAGCATCAGGTTTCTGTAATGATAATGTTCTTGCGATGGATAACCTCATCTGGTAACTCATATAACCAAGTAACACAATTTAGTTAGGCTTTAACATTCCATCGAAGAACCGAAAATTCTATCTCTACCCTACACAAATTCTCGATCATATGCATGATCACAGTAGTCTTGGTACATAAATATGCCTTGATCCTAATATACTTAGATCATACGCAGTTGTTTCACATTTCTTAGTTTTAATTGGGAATAGTTCAATTTAACCATGAAACGCAACTGACACTCAAGTGCCTAACTGCATTTTTTAGTTTACAACATTTCACTTAATGTTTATTTTAATACAAATAAATCCTAATTGATATAAATACGTATATATTTTTAATTTTTGTTTCATAACTTATCTTCCTTACTATTTACACCAGATCGTCGAGGACTGGAAATTTGTATCGATGGTATTAGATCGCTTCTTTCTCTGGACATTTACGCTGTCGTGTGTTTTCGGCACTCTCGCCATTATATGTCAATCGCCATCGCTCTATGATACACGCCAACCGATCGATCGCCAACTCAGTGACATACCGCTGAGAAAGAATAATTTCATGCTGCCACCAGATATTGTACGGCAGATTGTTAATTAAAATATTTTAATGTGAAAATACAAGTTTTTAATAATAAGTTTTAAGGTGTTTAAGATTTAAATAAGGTATTAGGTGGATAAAAATTGAAAATAAGTTGTTTAATACCGTGTGTATCTAAGGCACTGGATTACATATTGAGTAATATTGTTATTGAAAAAACTTATAGTCTGACACAAACAAAATAGCAAATACAGCGAAAGTTAGTAAAGTTAAAGAAGCTTATGAATAGAGAATTGCTTGCATCAAATAAAACAGATTTTAAAATTCGAATCACCCCCACATACAACTTTGTAAACTATAAAAAACTTTGATTAGGAATATAATGTTGTCATATTTCTAGTTATTAAGATACGCATACATACTTATATAATGCTTGCAATCCCATATCATTCACATCCACACATATGCCATACAATCTTAGAGAAGTATTATACTTAGAAAATAAAATTAATTCGCAGGAAAATGGTACTTAATGTATAACTTCAAACAATAAAAACGATCACATCAAAACATATTTAATTATTTAAATTTTCATTTCTGTAGGCATCTAGAAGTTAGACGCAATCCAAGAAATATTTGAAGTTTCCCACGCTTACAAAAAGGTCTTCATCTCAAGTGGGATATTATATTGTAGCGTCTATTGAAAAATTCAATATTCAGAAAGTTAATATATATATAAAAACCAACAGAGCTTCGCATTTGGAAAATTATATTTATTTAACTGCAATAGTGAAATCGACGTCAGACCCTGCTACAAAGTAATGCGTAACTCCAATCCCTGTACCTGTCGAAATACTATTATGATAGGAAAAGATAGAAACATTAAAGAAAAATAACTGAATTTTTCGATCACAATTGCTAAGATTTTATCCCGCAAAGTCAGTTGTCTCATCAAACTCTTTTTTTCCATCTACTAACTAGCCGAAGTAGCTAATATCTCCCTTTCTCGTTCTCAAGATAGAATACTTTTGTTTTTTTCAAAAACAATGAATGACACAATTTCGTATTTTAATTTTACACTGCTTCTTAATGGGAAAAAATACCGTTCAAGCGAAGCAATGTCTTGAAAAGTGTTATGGGGATTCCACATCATCAGAAACCGTTAACAACGTAAAACGTTAGTTTGCTGACTTCAAACGTGGTCGTAGAGACACTAATGACGCAAAACACAGCGGGGGTCCAAATGAGGCTGTAACATCAGAAAACATAAAAAAAAGTGAAGTTGCGTCATATAGCTGACATCGTAAGGATTTCAAAAGAACGTGTTGGCTTTATATTGTATTAGTATTTGTCCATGAGAAAGCTCTGTTTAAAGTGGGTGCAGCGTTTACTGACTGTTGACCAAACACAGTAACCGGTTGATGATTCTGAGCAGTGTTTGGTCATGTTTAAACGTAATAAACCGGAATTTTAGCGTCGATCTGTGACAATAGATGAAGAATGGATTCATCACTTCACTCCGAATCAAAATGGTCGTCATTTGAGTGGACAGCAGCGCCCGAAAGCACAACAATCAGCTGGAACGGTTATGGTCTTGGTATTTTGGGCTATGAGAGATGTAATATTCATCGACTATCTTGAGAAGGGAAAAACAATGACAAAAATGCATGAATTGCACTTTGGATTACAGCCGCATCCATCTTATTCTTCAGATTCCGCTCCTAGCGACTACTGGTTGTTCGCAAACCTCAAAAATATGCTCGCCGGTAAGAAATTACGGTCGAATGAAGAGTTTATCACTGAAACTTAGGTATATTTCAAGGCACAAGACAAATCGTTCTACGAATGTGGTGTTGAAATGTTAGAGCGGAGCTGAAATCATTCTGTTGCTTTTGAATGAGAGAAGAGAAAGCCAATTTTGAACAAAAAAAAACGTGTTTTCTTTCTTAGGCCCGGGACTTTTCAGCCCATGTGTTTTTTTTTATAAGAGTGTATACCTGCTGGCGAATGCTGAAAATTTATAAGGTCTATGAGCTAGAATAAATATAATCTGAAATCAAATTCAAAGTCACCGTATTAGCGCCGTTTACTCTGCTGAATTATGGAAAATGGAACAGGGCTTGACTCGTAAGCAAGTATTGTTAAAATATCTTAAACTTTGCTTCGGCAATGAATATCGGACAGGGGTTTTGATCGTAAAATTAATTTTTCTGTTTAAACACATTTTCACCACCTGGGGATCTGAAGACCTTTTTCCAGCTAGTTTCAGTTGCTTTAAGCCAATGAATATCATTTATTTGACATGGTATGAATGTATAAAAAAAACGGTGCAACATTCACGTGCAAAATAATTTTTTTCCTCTGTATAATACATATATATTTTGTATTACATTTCAATAATAAATTACTTTTAAATAAATTTATTGCTTTCTGTTAGGCGTGTTGTTTTACTAAACTATGCGTACTTGTTGTTATGGCTGCTGCTGAAATGGAACCGGTTTGATGATTACCATCGTACATAGAGCACTATGAATTCGTATGTAGGATAATTGGTATCAGTTAATTCGTCATCACATTGGGGGTTTCCAGTAATAATTTTTAAAATAATGCCGGTTTGTTTAGACATTTGTTAAAGACGTATAAAGCATTTAAGTTACATATAAATCAATTATTGTACTCGTATATTAGGGCTTTCCTTAATTTCGCGAGGGGAATTTCGACACTGCAGATATACTGTTATAGTAACCATTCACAACTTTTGTAATGATTGGATGCAGTGAAGGAATAGTGCATAAAAAATTAGTTCATATATTGCACTAAAACAGTACAACTACAAAAGTAAAAGGCCTAGGCATATCTAGGAAAATATGTTAGAGAATTGCCACCTATTTCAAAAATTCAATTCAATATATTTTATCAGAAGTTATAGAAATATTATATTGTAGGCAAAAAACTAGTTTTTTTTTTAACTTTTATAACGTACTTACGAAAGAGAGCAGAGAATATTTTTAAGAGAGTTTCCACCGGTTTAAAAATAGTATCTATTATGTTTGCCTACAGCAACTAAAAATACCGCGGAATTCTATTCTACAATCAAATTTTATAATCTTCCAGTTGGTATTTAAGCTTTGAACCAATTATGTTATAAAATTAAAGATAAAAACAACGTCAATTTCAATCACTGATTACGTTCCAGTTTTTCATTATTTATAGTTTGGAACCCAAGCTGAAGTTTATCTATTCCACAGCTATGGTACAACTTCAAACTCAGTGGCAGATTGGCCACGAGAATATGAAACGGAATGAGAATGATAACGAATGAGCTGTCAAGAAGAACCTTAGACACAGATAATAACATAAAGTGTCTGCAAGGAACTATTAGAAGAGACCAGCCACAAATGGAAATTATACCAAGGTCACAAAATAAGATATTAAAATGAAGATTCACGCTATTTTTGAGTTTCGTGGTGATCGGGAAGGCCTAATATCAACACACCAAAACGACGAAGTAGAATCTACATTGTACATATTTATACATAGGCAACGGTTAAAACCTGAATTTTCCTTCAGAACGTATCACATCTTGAGTATAAGGTTTTATGTATCGTCGTAACTATATATAATATTAACAAAAATATATGTTAATAGTTTGTGTCCAATAGCGACCTTCGCAGCTGCAAGGGTAATTAGTGAATATGTAAATTGCTAAAATATATGTTTCACTTTAAGAAGTGAGTTATTACAGCAATAACTTTAAGATAGCATAGCTGACGTAGGTTTAATGAGTTAAGTCACAGCTTTGAAGCCGTATTTTTCAAAGAATCTATTATGCGAACCATATCACCTTTGGAATTTAGGTCGAATTCATCAATATTATATTCTGTGTGTACGAGAGGGTTTGAAAAAGTAAGTGAGTTTGAAAAATATTATTAAATAATATAATATACAATATATATATATATATATATATAATATATTCTTTGCAACAAAGTTTTTGATTGATGATTTATTTATTAGATTTATAGGCAATTTCTACTGCTGTCATAGAGAAGTAACTATTTAATGCCGAAGGAACTCACATATATCTTCTATTTAGTAGTTTAGTTAACCAGTTCAGTTACAGTTGTTGCACATATCAATAAATAGAAGCTACGTAAGGAGAAATTTATAAAAAGTGATGGTCGCCGGGCTTCAACTAGCAAAGTTTGTCGACAATCATCTGCTTCTTTATTGCACACCGTTTGCAAAAAGAACGAGCTAAGTCATCGGATAGACATTTCGAAGTACGGAAAGTCAATGAGATAACCATAGAAGAATAGGTGTGCTTTGACCAAATTTATTATATATCACGAAAGTTTGTCCGAAGTAGGGCTAGGCCTTTTCGAATACTCATTCATGGGTCACATGGTTTTTAACATTTGGCTAAAACTCCCGCTTACTTCACTAAAAAAGCCTATATCTCAATATACAGGGTGGATCAGTTCTTTTAAAAATTATGGACCGTGAATGACCTCCATGCTCAGTCACGCTTATGCGACACCTAATTAGAAAATTGCGGCCTGAAGGGTTGAAGTTGGGATTGCCTCAATTATCGATTTATTGGACGGCTTCAATTCAGTCTGATTTCTCGGTGTTGTATTGTACATCTCTTGCTAGACATAACCCCATACAAATAAGTCTGGTGCAGTCGGGTCAGGTGACCTTAGGCGCCTGCAGAAAGTGGAGTTTCTTGATATTAATTTATTTTCAAATTTTAATTGGAGCTCCGCAATAACCGGTTTGATTATGTGCCCCATCATGCTGGAAATAAACGCTATTGAAAAGGATACGTCTTCGGCGCAGTTCTGGGTAAAAAACTCATTCAACATCAGTTACTGTTACACCGTTTTCTTCGAAGAAGTATGGCCCGACAATACACCTTGATGAAACTGCGCACCACACAGTGACTCGTTCTGAGTGAAGTTCCGTCTTGTGGATTATTTCTGGATTTGATTCACTCTATATACGGCAATTTTGCTTGTTTATATTTCCACCTCATCTGACATAAACAGGCAATTTATCAAGTTATTGTCTTCTTCAGACATTTCAAAAATTTTTTAGCAGCCAAATAGGCAAATCTAGAGGGTTTAATCGGCTTGTTATTTGCACTTTGTACGCAAACAGGTTTAATTCATCATGAATTATTCGTTGTAATGACCGCTGCTAATTCCAAACTGCGCTGACAAGTTGCGAGTCGAAACTCTTGGATTTGCCTGAACTGAAGATGCAACAGCCGCAATTTTTTCTTGAACACGAACATATGGATCACGATGGTACGGTCTTTTTGTGATACTTCCAGATTCGGCAAACATGTTTACCAACCTCATAATGCTCCATCTACTCGGGGGAGTGCCGCCAAAATCCCGTCTAAAATCACTTTGGGCGGAAATGATGGTCTGCAAAGCATGGTACCACTGCACTATCGAAACCCTCTTTTTGGATAAAATTGGAGACATTCTGCGTGTTTAGAGTTCAGTGTAGCGCACCTGTATCTTGATATGATAATCTTTATTCACTCGCTATTAATTTCAACTTAAGGAGCTTTCTTTTTATTGCTTCAAAGTCGAAAAATTGGTGTGTTGATAGTACACGTTTAATTTTACCAATCTATCAGCGAGAAACTTTGCAATTACTGATTTTTCAAACGGACCTCGTTGTAGATTTTATCAATTATATATTAATATTGCTTTTAGCATATGTGTCAGCTTAGTAGATATTCGATTTTCAAAAGTAACGGTAGCGTTAGAGACTCGTAAAGATTTACATTAGATACTCGAAAAGGCACAGCGCTTAAAATTTACTTGCATCTTTTTTCAATGCTAAATTTTTTGTTACCACTGTATTTATAGAATTAGAAATTTTTTTACGCTAGCATTAAAGCACTTCACACTGGTTACTTCTAAGTAAAAGAATTATCAACAACATTTTTTTTTATCATTGAGTAAATAAGTGGTAACTACACTACATTTAACATCATACTTTCCTGGGTAACTATGTAAAATGATACAAAAATATATTTTCGCGAATTTATTTAAATGCGTTTATGTGTAAGCTTTGAAGGTGAAATTAATTATAAGTATACATAATTAATTAGACTTTATTGTTTTCATAAAATAGGTCCAAAACGTGTGCAATAACGGGAAAATAAAATACAAAACAATGCTGTTATATTTTTTAATTATTTGTACGACAGACTGTTTAATTGTGAATTATGGCAGCTATGCTGCTGGCATAATAAACATAACAACAACAAAAAAGGACGCTAATATAGCGACAGGTATACCTGTGAATTCACACAAAACCTATGAAACAACAAATTTTAATACACCAACAACAACGTTAAGAGAAGAAACACCGATGGAAAATGTTTTAAGCATAATAAAATGGCAAAAGCTGTCAACCGCAGGGACTTTGGCGAGCAAAATAGAAAGAGCAACCCCCTCTAATCTCGGCACCCATATACCAAAACAAGCAGTTGAAACAGCGTTAAGCGCATTGACCCGCGAAGCGCGTACTTTCCGGCGGTTATTTCCACTTTTACGTAATGCCACAGATGCACCGGGTCTTCTCGGTGACAATGGATTGTTGCCTCTGCTCTTGACCAATTTACTATCTAACGATAATGTTGGTGTAATTGCAGCGAGCTTAATAAGTGCACTACGAGATAGGGCAACAACACCAGCAGCAACTACAGCTGTTGCAACAGGAACAACTGCAGTAAATAATACAACTAATAATTTTTATAGCACACCAAATAATCCATACTATTATGCCGGACAAAATTATTATGCGCCTTACGGTTACTATTATGGCTAATTCGGTTTTATTTTGAATGTTTCAATAAAAGTTTACAGTTCAAATATTCTTTATCGAATTAAATAATTTATTGTCGTCTTTACGTCACGCAATCTTAAGATTAAAAACATTATGGTTTTGGTCCAGCTGAAAAAAATATCTATATTGCTGATGCTGGTTTTAACTAATAGTTATCAACAACAGAAATACTGATTAGGACCTACTGTCGAGCAATTTAATCCATCTTGGAGTGATTGTCAAGGAGATAACCCTTTTAAGACCAAATACTGATTATGAGAATGAAAAAATAATAATAAGTTACATACTTTAAACTTCCGATATCGAGTTAGTAAAGTTCGTAAAAATATATAAGTCAGAGAGATCCAGTTTTTCAATGTGCTTCCCTTGCTCCATTATTTGCCTAATATGAAAGTTTTCTTGGCAGTATTTGAGATAAGTTGCAAGTATAAATCGGCAAGAGCTCTTACAGGCAATGCTAAATCTCTGAACAACTAATAAAAATAGTAAATACACTTAATTGGAGATTATTTCAATAACTTCATTTAAAATTTTGGAAGTCAATTCCACATTCGTAACTCCATTACCGGAAATTTTAAATGTAGTTTTTATTCACAACCACGCGTATGCGCATTTAATGCGAGTATTACTTATTTCCTCTATGAGTTTTCTAAGATCATGTCAAAAACGTTTTTTTAATTGATTTGTTAGGATCGAAGAATTAAAATATGACTTTTCTCATAGAGGAATTTACTTGTTAGGCTAAAATAGTACCCAAAGCTAATGAATCGGTTTACTATAAGGATAAAACTATGTATCTTTCGACCAAGAGCTGTATGAATTCTACCAATATTAAAGAAAAATTCGGAAGAAACCAAATTACCACAGAAATCGATAGTAGTGTGTTAGTGATTTTGAGCTTCCTATATACTTGTATTATATATAAAGGCATACTTTTAATTCTCGCCACAACTTTGTTCTACACAATTTGAAAATATTGTGATGTGGGTTTGTCCAAAATAAAAACATAACATTTGATTGAAAAAATCACCGACGGCTACAGCTTCGTTGCTCTCTCTTATTTACTTACTTTTGTTTGATGCAGTATAAAACGCGACTCAACGCTTAGAGCAAGCGGCAGTCGTATGACAACCACTGCTGGAGTAGCATCTTTAAGGCATTGTCAAGCCGAGCAAGCAAAAATGTGGACACACCTTCAATGTAGACGTCATAACAACGGAGTTTTCTTATCAGCGTTGCTGCTTTTAACCCTCAACGGAGCTACGTCGTCACCGTCGCCGGGTGGACATACAACCAGTTTTGAGCAGCTGTTCTCAACTGATCCTAATAATGCGGTAAGCGAAGTATGATAGCATAAACAATGAACCGGCGTTTTTCAAGCGTCGTTGGAAGAACACGGTTTTATAACATTTATAATTTATTTTTGTAGACCTTCACTCCACTCTGCGATGATGCGCAATTACGGAATGTGGCACAACAGGTTGCACAGCTCAAGACTTCTAGTGACAATATTTTTCTCCAGCTGGATTCATACAATTTAAGGTGAGTAGCCTTTACGATCTTTTCGAACAGGCTTCGCTTTCAATTAAAAATATTTATAGATGCACTTGCCTCTCTTCAGATTGTACTACATTAAAACGTTGTTGGATGAACGCTTACCGAAGGTAAAGTCCAATCCACATTGGATTGATGTGCGAGGTGGTGTAGAAGGCAGTGAAAAATCTTCAACACATACATCAAGTGGTGGTATACTTTTCCCGACAATAAGTACAGCGTCTTCCGCTAGTGGCGCAAACAAACCGGTTGCCAGCTCACAATCTTCTGTTGGCGGCATCGACTTGCCTGTTATTAGTACACAATCATCTGCTGGTGGTATTAATATACCGGCTACCGACTCGCAATCATCTGCTAGCGGCGCTAACATGACGGCTACTGATTCACAGTCTGCCACAGGTGGTGCATACATTCCCCCGCCCACCACTGATTCATCATCAGCTTGTGGTTGCAATACACAAACTTCATTCAAGTCGGGATTAAATGGCGCCCTTTGTCCTTACAGTAATCCCGTATTGGCGCCTAACTGCGCAGAGGCCGTGAAACGAGCTGGTGCTAATGCTACGAGTGGTATCTATCAGCTTTATTTACCTGATTCGGGCTTAAAACCTTTCTATGCCTACTGCCTGATCGATACAAATGGCGGACCAGCCTGGACAGTGGTGCAACGGCGGCAAGATGGTTCGATCTCTTTCCATCGCAATTGGGATGAATATCAGGCGGGTTTCGGTAATTGGAATGGTGAATACTTTATTGGCTTGGAACGTTTGCATGGCATAACACATGCAACGTTGAACGAGTTGTGGGTTCAGATGGAGGACTTTGAGAACGTCACTCGTTATGCCCGTTATGTGAATTTCGCCATTGGCGACGAGCATGAAGCGTACGCATTAAATATGCTTGGCAAATTTAAAGGTAATACAGGGGATTCTTTACGCACGAGTCAAGGTCAGAAGTTCAGCACGAAAGATGCCGATCATGATATGTGGGATCGTAATTGCGCAGAGGTGTACACGGGCGCGTGGTGGTATAATGCGTGTCATGATAGGTGAGTACCAATAGAGTAAATTAAGCATCAATATAATTTATAATTTTATATTATTTAACATAAAATTTTCTCACGTAATTGCAGTAATTTGAATGGCCAATACTTACGTGGTAAATACAATAAAGATAAGTATGGCAAAGGTATCGATTGGGCACACTGGCATGGTCATGAGTACTCCCTAAAATATGTGCATATGGCTGTTAGACCTGTGCAATAAAAAATTTAAGTCTGAAAATTTATCAAAACAACCATTATGTCACGCCTAACTCATATATATATATATATTTACACATAAACATTTCTAATTAATAATTACTAAGTAAATAAAGTAAAATACTCAATTTCTAATTGATTTTTTTTATTTACTAAAAAGAGCAAGAAATATAAATTGTTGCTGAACAATTTGATAAAACCCCGACGGTTAGCAGTTGTTACTACAGATCATGTTGGTTTTAAAGCAATCAGTCTTAATAAGCTCCAAGCTGAATAGAACAACAATTGTCTCAAATAATACTTTTTAGCCGTCAAAGTTAATGTATGTGACAAAATCAAAATAAGAATTTTCCAGCAAAGTTTCTTCAAAATCATTCTGTATTCCACGTAAAAACTGGACTTTTCAGAAAAATTTCAAGAGAGAGAGTTTTCATTTTCCACGTGGTGCATTCATAAGGAAGGTTATGTTAACTAAAAATCTTACACAACTGAACATAGATTAAATCTTCTTAATTTTAGATAGTTACATGGAAGGAAAGGCTTCGTTTTTACTCCTACCGGAAGGTGGAACTATGTTTCCTGCTGTATCATAGACAACAAGAGAAAGTTGAAATGTGGTGCAGACCCTGTCCACGATTTCCTTGCATTCCATTTATGAAAAAGTGTCTTACAGTTTCGTAGTAAGCTTACTATTGTTAAAATTTAGGATTCGAAGGTTGTCTGAAAACATTGAAAAATATATATAGTAAATTGATTACAAATTTCGAAAACCGTCTTGTCGGGCCAGAAAGTCTCACATTTATTTATAGTTAGTTTTTCATAGCAGTTTACTTTTTTGTACTTCTTGTTTCAAATTTGTTCTCCTCAAAGAACATTATAGATAACGTAAGTTTGCTGAAAATAGAAACAGAACATGTTACTGAATAAACACCAGGCGCTAAACCATAAAGCATAACTTCTCGCGAAACAGCATCTTCTAGTCAAGCAAAGCAATAACAATGTGGACACATCTTCAGTATAGGTATACGTCATAACAGCGGAGCTTTCTTATCAGCGTTGCTGCTTTTGATCTCCAACGTAGCCAATGCGACACCGTGGTCGGGTGGACATACAACCAGTTTTGAGCAGCTGTTCTCAACTGATTCCATTAATGCGGTAAGCGAAGTATGATAGCATAAAAAATGAACCGGCGTTTTTCAAGCATCATTGGAAGAACACGGTTTTATAATATTTATTTTTAATATTGTTTTTTGTAAACCTTCACTGCACTTTGCGATGATGCGCAATGACGGAATGTGGCCCAACAGGTTGCACAGCTCAAGATTTCTAGTGAGAATACTTTATTCCTGTTGGAATCATACAATTTGAGGTGAATAGCCTTTGCAAATTTTTGCTTCGGCTGGCTTTGTTTTTAATTTACAACATATAATATTCTTTTACCTATGCCAACCTGCTGATTGGATTACATTAAAACGTTGTTGGATGAACGCTTACCAGGGTTAAAGTTCAATCCGCATTGAATTGATGTACGTGGTGGTGGTAAATCACTATCTTCAGCACATATATCCACTGGTTTTATATTTTTCCCAACCATAAGTAGAGAGTCTTCTGCCAGTGGCACTAACTTATAGCCTGCCAGCTCACAAACTTCTGTTGGCGGCGTCAACTTACTTGTTGTCAACACCTAATCTTTTGCCGGTGGTATTAATAGATCGGCTATCAATTTGCAAGGAGTTATTGGCGGCACTTATTAACCGACTATTGACACAGAATCTTTGGAAGTGATGAACAAACTTCCCCGCCTACCCTTGATTCATCATCATAGTCACAAACTGCGCAGAGGCCGTTAAACGAGCTGGTGCTAAAGTTAAAAGTGGTATTTATCATCTTTACTTACCTGATTCGGGTCTAAAATCTTTCTATGCCTACCGCCTGATCGATACAAATGGCGAACCAGCCTGAACGGTGGTTCAACGGCGGCTAGATGGTTCGTTCTCTTTCCATTGCAATTGGGATAAATATCAGGCGGTTTCTATAATGCGTTTCATGGTAGGTTAGTGCCGCTGGAATATTTTTTAATATTTATTATTTAATCATATATTTACATGATTTTTAAATTAAAAAAATTGTATTGTGATATAAAATTTTCTCTCACATTTGTAGCAATTTGAGTGATTTGGTAGAGCTAGGGTAGGGATATACTAATATCGATTTTTTTTGAAAGCTTCAAATTGAACGGCGTTTTAAGCTGTCCTAGTGAGAACCCTGTTGGCGATTATAAAAGGAACATAACCTATGATCAGAAGCAATAACATCGGTCAACTTCGCCAGCTCTTTCAGATGGTAGACAAATTTGTAGACGCATACACGACAGTTTTGTATGTGGAACTATTATTATTTAGTAAGAGTAGAATTATATCGGTAAACTATAAACTTTTATAGAAAATATAGATATTTGGAATCAGGACAACTCAAAATATTTACAATCATTAAAAATTTATTATTAAATTCTGGTTTAGGTTTAGTAGGTACAACAGATTGTCATACATTTTCATATTTTGGAAAATTTGGATTCTGCATACAGCAGTTTGAGCGAGGAGGTACTCGCACATATATTTCTGAGATTTATTTTGTTAAATCATACAGATTACATACATATACAGGATACATATGCAGGACAGCTAAAATGTGGAATAATCCGATTTCAATTGATATAGATCTATCGAAAAACGAATTAAATATTGTTTTTTATTATACTAGCCTAGTTGCTTGGCAAATGAAAATGGTAAAAAAGTTAATCGAACTAAAGAGTTTGAGGAGGCTATACTGGTAGCATTTCCAGGTTAGTGTGGCTATACTAATATCTATACATATCACTATTTGAGCATATAAATATTATCCAGTAGCTTCAGAGACTGCTCCTAAGATGGCAATAATTGCGTCTTCAATCAGGTAAGGTAACCTATAATATCATTGAAATCGGTATGGCGTTCTGGTGGCTTGCGTATATCAACTAGCTGTCGGATCTATATGCCAACGTTTCTCTCTTGCTCATTTTGTATGCCATAAAAGCTACTATTTCAGCCATTTAAACTGTTTAGTGTGAGGTTATGCTTTTAAAATACAGAAATTCTTTTCTGGTTCGACATTGGCTCGAGAATTTTTAGTACCTATTTCTGTCCACAAATAAATACGTTAGAGTATTATAATAATATTTTAATGAAAATTCTAGTCCTCAGCTGAAGTTATGTCACCGCCTGTAATCTGAAATTGAACTAGTTTCGGTTTAGAACTCAGTAGAAACTAACCACTTACGAAATCATATATTATTCCAGTGGCTATAAGTATATAAAAATTTTAAATATCCTCCTTGAGTATTTAGCTTATCTCAGTTGAGTGTTTCTATAATGCATTCACATATCAGTACCTCGCTTGTACTGCATATTTGTTATCAGTAATATGAACTGACATATGTGACTCGTATAGACACTACTGTAGATTTTGCCCATTACAGACATATTGTACAATAGTAAAAAATAAAAATAAGAAAAAACGTTAACTTCGGCTAGAATACCCTTCACAAATAAAGCAATTTCCATACAAAAACTTGATTTTGATCGTTCAGTTTGTATGGCAGCTATAACATATAGTAGCCCGATTTGGAAAATTTCTTCGGATATTGTAGGATTACAAAATTTTAGCGATATCTCAAAAACCCCACACTCATAATTTATATACATTTTTTATAGGGTCTCCGTCTTTGCAAACTTCGTCGCAAACTTAACATACCCTGTTTATGGTATAACAAAATCCATACAAATGTAAGTTGAGCTGTAATGTTTATGTTATGTTCGCTGTCATTGTCATCAAGATTGGTTATGTTCCGCTGCTAAGTGCTGCGTTAAGTGAGTATTCACAATAATCGTGTTTCACATGCCGCATAAGCATGAGTAGTTGTTACTGTTCTAAAACAGTTCCCCTAGTTGTAAAATATTATTTTTTTTTATTTAACTAAATGTGCATTTCAATTGAAAATAATGCTATTCACCGAAATCCCCTGAGATTAGCTGTATATAGGAGTACACACATAAAGAGAGACATATGCATGCACTTGAGAGAAGAGAGGAAGTTTTAAAGAAAAATAAAGCATTGATATTTGTAAATTTTTGTATTTCTGGTGTAGTTTGTAAATTAGGTTGGTTCTTAAAACATAAAAAATTTGTATTTTTTTCTGGAACACTCATTTGAAATTTTTTTAGTAAGGCCAAGATTATCATTTGAGTCAAGCAGCGGAATACTCTATGAAGAGTATCAAAATCATAAAAGTGATATTTGTACATAGTCCCCAAATTGAGAAATCTTGAGTAAGCCGAGATCCACTATAACGTCTCTATCTTGTAGTAAAGTAGTTCCCATCTAGTGGTGATATTTAGGGATATTTGCAAATTTGTACTTCTTACATTTAAGAACAAACCTAATGTAGATATACCTGCGAATCATGTATGTATATGTTGTTATATTACTTATTTATGTACAAATGCACTTCACTTGGGGAATCGTTATAAATCTTACATATTTTTTAAATTGGCGAGCAAAAAAATGGGGAATCACTTAAGTATTGATCGTTGCATTGTTCTTTTTAATGATTTAAAGACTGTCTTAATGCCCAAGCACATAAAATGTTACTTTGCTATTCATACACTACTTCATGGGTCCTGATTTTTATTGCATGATATATATATATAGGGTTATGTAGAACATACTTGTATGTAAACGGTCATGATGACGAGGCGAGTTTAATTTCGATTGACTGTCTGTCTGTCCATCTGTGCAAGCGATAACTTAAGTAAAATTTCAGATATCTTGATAAAACTTGGCACAAATATTCCTTGGCATTAAAGGTGGTTGGAGGGAATCGTAGCATTGCCACGCCCACAAAACGCCATTAATCCAAAACATATAAAGTGCCATAACTAAGCTCCACAGAAAGGTACAAAGCTGTTATATTATATATTTTGTGACGAATTGCATTAGGGAGAGGCTTCTATGATTGAAAATGTTTTTAAAAGTGGGCATGTACCCGCCCTCTAATAAGTTCAAACAATAATAACCAAATTCGCTCAGGGTAAACATTTTTGGCATCCCTACCCACTCTGTAAAAAAGGGTGAATTCGGATTATAATCTCGCCCTCTGCCCACATATAGGTTTTGTTGAAAACTACTAAAAGTGCGATAAATCTATTACTCGACCCATTTCAACCAAATTCGGTAGTAACCACGCCTACCTAACTTTTACACAATTTTAAATTCCATCTGATTCGTTCACTTTACATTATGCAAATCAAGAACCAATTAATATAACGTGGTAATAATTTGCACGTGTTTTAAGGTGTACCATCTTGTGATCAAAAATTGTCCAAATAGGACCAAAACTATTCAAGCTCTCTATACCGAAT